CTTCCGGGTAACTGTCTCCGGTGTATTTCAAAGCCATTTGGCTCACAACGTGACCATTGTGTTTTAAGATTCTTGCAAACGTGGTATTTGATTACTTATTACTTAGTTTACAATGAATTCTAAAACTCGAAGTGGCTCTTGTTGTGTGGTATAATAGTAGTGTTAAGTTGTAGTAACATGTGGTTTGATCAATTATAAATATGTAAACCCAACATATGAAAAAAAAATCGTTATGAAACTCTTCTTACCTTGTCAATAATATATGCCAACTTTCAAATTTAAACCTGAATAATAATGTATAGACTTAATCTTACTCCTTGAACAATATGCTTTGGTGCACAGCTTGCAACACGAACAAACAGTAATAAACAAATGGAAAGAGGCCGAATCAAGACCGCCAAAAAAGCGAGTTATTCAAAATCTAGCAACCATGTCACCTTATTTTACAATATATCTCTAAATAATTAAAACAAATTTTCACTTCAAACTCACGAGAATTACATAATAACATTAATATCTTATGAAATACGAAAGATTTCAGCTCAGAAATTGGCTAATTTATTTCTTTTATTGAAAACAAAATTATCCGTTTGAAAATATCGTCTCGCAGAATAACATGTAGTAAGCAGCTGCAAACTTTCTAACCGGAACTAGAGCAGGCATGCAGCTCGAGATTGTTTACATTTGTACTGAAAACACAATCCATTCGAGAATTACATGCTGGAAAGAACCGTTCTTACTACCTATAATGTTCCTTGTGATTCAGAACTTGATTGGAGAGTTTTCCCGTGGGTAAAACTCGACGACTTATCGGGTTTTCATTCCCATCCGAAAAATACGCATCTGCTGCATACGTTTCAGAGTCATGAAGAATCGAACCTTGTAAAAGTGACATACCAAGTGACATCTAAAAGAACTAGTTAACATGCTCTGAAGTGGCAACAACACTACATCTGTTTGCGTCCGTCTAAAATATTGATTGGTTTGGGTTTTGATTTGACAATGGATCCTGCTGATTTAGTTGAAGTTGATTTGCAAGCTGATAAAAGTAAAAAATGTTTAGATCGATGGATGGAAAATCTTCCAGAAGAAGCACATACCCTTCCTTTGCATTGTTTAGCTATCCCGGGTTTGTATTCTCTTCATATTTTCAACAGGTTGTCGTTTCTTTTTTTACATAACCAAGATGGTAAATAAAGCCAGAAAAATAGTAAATAAAACCTTTCATTGCGCAGTTATGAGTTGCACCTTAAGACACAGTATATAGATATTTTAAGATATATCTATCAGACAAATTCAACATTATTTCAGTGTCTTTGAATTTGTTTATATCTTTAATACGAAATACATAATTTTTGAAATATTTAATACTAACTTGCTCCCCCCCCTCTTCGTATTAAACAAACTAAACTCATGTTTCATTCAATCAGTTTAATATAATAATATCCTATTAAATTAAACCGTTTTGACTTAGGTTATTCCAATAATTTTTAAAAAAAATATTTATACATTCTAGAAAATATTATAAAATAATTGTGATTATTGAATTAATTCGATAATCGCAATTATTAAATTAATGACTAATTGTGTAGATTAATGATTAAAATAATTGTGAATGGTGATTGTGAACTTGTTGAATTATGTCAACATAATTTTAAGACTTTTTTAAAAAATCTTTTTATAAAAGTAAGGTTTTTGAGATCGCTTAAAAAAATAACTCTTTATTTACAAAAAAAGAACTTTTTTTAATTGTTATTAAGTTAAAAAATCAAAATGATACAACTTATTTCAATTTTTTAACTGTCCAATATGTTTTCTTGTATTTTCTAAGACTATTTGTAAAATAGTCTATAAAATTTTATGTTGAAATACCTATTTTATTTATTCATACATTACTTAATAAAGGTAAATGGAATTCAAGGAAATAACTTCTTATTTGTAACTCTTCAAATAATATGTCACTCTTGACATTTGATTGATCAGAAAAGCATCAATCAGGAATCATTTTTGCATTTTGTTTACAATTCCTTTATAAAAAAGTAAGTAAGTAAAATTTAATAAGCCGATCAAATTTAATAAGACTGATTGAAATAAATAACTACAACAAATTTAATCAAAATTAAAAAACATATCTTCTACATTTTTTTTAAAAAAAAGTTTCTTTTCTATCTTTTAAGTCACTGATTATTACTTTTCATAGTTTCTTTTTTATCATTAACTAATTTAATNATTACTAGGGGGCTAAGCCCCCTGTTCGCTGCCGCTCACCAACCCCGATCACTGCTTCGCAATAATTGTCTTTCCTTGGCAGAAAACAATTTTTCTATTAAAGTTAAAATTATTCACTTAACATATATGTACTAAAAAGGAATTCTGTTTACTTACTCTTGTGCCTCTACTTCCCACGTCTAAATATTACTCTCAAATATTACTTTACCCAAATATTAGATCTCTTGGTGAACGGAAGTGATTTTAGAAGTAATCATTTTTTAAAATAACATTTATATTCTTATAGCATTGTATTGTTCAAACAAATTTGATGGGTTCACAACCATAATTTAATACTCTCGCAAATAGTAGCAGCACTGGAAAATAAGTTCCTAAACAATATGGAAATGAATGAGGGAAAACTGGATCCTACCACGTGATTTTCCAGCCAATAAAAAGGCGCCGACAACAATGGAAAACGAGGTCAGACTTCTATGATTTTATATTATATAAAGATACATTACATTATAAATACATTGCATTTTATATATTAACTTTTCTTAGTTGAAAATGTATGTAGCATGATAGTGTAACACTGGATAATATTTTGCTGTATTCTTGCTTTCCATGCAAATTTCTTTTATAGTTAAGATATATAAAATAAATAGTAAATACTAGTTTACAAGATAAAGGTGTATCAATTTCTATTTAAATTATGTCTAGTGTTTATGAATTTAAAACCTGCTTTGTGTTGTTTAAGTATTTCAGTTTTTTTTAAATTTTATTTAACGAATTTTCCATATAACGAACTTATTATCGGAATTTAGCGACTTCGTTAAATGGAGGTCCGAGTGTATATATAAAATCACTCTGCTAATAATAACCATCCTCAGTGGTAGTTAAATTGAAGATTACGAGCCGTTGGGAAAAGTTTAGAAACTTTTTTTTTTGGTTTACCACTCTTTGTAATTATCTAATATATATAATTCACTTGCGTGGCTCCCAAATTTTGGCTGCATTTCTTTTCCGCCGGTGGCAACGTTTGCTTTGTTTTGTTTACGTTGCTATTTCTCTTACACGGCGAATCGACCAATGATTGCCGCTAAAAATGTCACATGCCAAATCTAGTTGAGGTGGTTCAACATATAGTGCTTTTAAAAACGGAAACTGAAATAACCAGAGAGCATCAGCTGCGGCAATCTCCTACTATTAAGCTAGGCAGAAGTGAGTAGTCTTTGTCGATAGATCTCTATTTTAGTATTGTGTCGAAAGCGCTTATTTTCACGAATTTATATATTACGAATTTATTTGATGATTTTTGATTTATATCACGAATTATACTATAGTATATTTCTAATAGGTTTAACGAATTACATGTCATTTATTTGAATTCAAATTTGTTTTAATGACTTAGTATTTACTAAACAGATGTAATTTTTCTTTAAGAAAAGTCTTTATATGGATTTGAATGATTGTTTTGAATTCTTAGAATTTTGTGCATTTGCAATGAACCGAAGTTAGTAGCAAGCGAAGCGAGCTTGGTTTGCGAATCAAACCATATAAGATTGCGTAGCAATTTTCGGGGGTTGGCGAGCGTTAGCGAGCAGGGGGAGCAACCCACTAGTTCTTAATACTTTTCTTAATAATTGGAGTAAAAAAACATAAAGGATGAGGCATATGAATTATGAACTACAATAAATAAAAGTTGAAATTAGAAGTATATTATGAACTTTTTATTAATAAAATGGTTTTTTCTTGATAAATTTAGTTCATGATATTTTTTTCTGTGCAATATATTGAGTGTTTAATGACACAACATATTGAATTAACACAAATATATTTGTTTTTCGTGAAAAACAAGGACATTTTATAGCGTAACAATGATGAATGTAAGGCAATAATGGGGGTTGGTAAACAGAGTCCCTAACGCATAAAAAAGTTGCATGTTTCATTAAAAATTAAGTTGGAACAGATAAGTAATGCACTGAATTGGAATATTTGATACATTTAAGTCACATTGTATTTCATTTAGAAAAGAAGTTAAAGACAAAAAACACGATCTAGAAAGAATAAAGTTAGTTACTCTCGAATTAAATCTGCTCGTTTGTATCTAACTGGCTTAACTGTTTCAAGATTTTACAAACAGCAGCTAGCTTACACTTTTTATTACAACTGCTTCTTTTGAAATAATCATCACATTAAGAGACATTTGGATCAGGAACTGATTTACGGGGCACATGCTTAGCCCCCCAGATTGTGAAGGCACCAACACAAATTACACATGAAAAAATTTTCTTTTTTATTTCTCTTAACTAAACTAGTTTGGCCTTTAACTCGTAAGGGTTCTCAAATTTTTCCCTTAATTGTTTTTAGTATAAATATTTTTAAAAAAATTTATAAAAATATATCTTACAAATGATTTTTATTAATGCTATAGATGTTTTGCTAGATAAATAACAAATAACTTTCTTTTGAGCGTTTTTTATCATTCTTACCAACAGCTCCATTAGTAAAATTTTAGTATTTTGTTACAGTTCAGCTAAATTCAATTTTGAATTCCTATACGAGACCCTGATTTAAAATGCCCCAACAAAGCATCATGTGCAATATGTTCAATGCAGAACTACAACATTCTACTGATATTAAAAATTATGGTATGGTATCATTTTATTGCAAAAATGAACATTACTGGGTGAATTTTTAAGTTCAACAGCCAACCTTCGAATTCTAAAATTAAGAATATTGAATTCTAAAATTAAATATTTAAGTGTGCACATCGCATTCAAAACTTTTCAGGTAAGTATGTGTTTTTCGGATAATCTCTGAAATATCTCAGTGGCTAATTCCATGTGATTTTTTATCCATGGAACCCATTCCGGCATAATTAAAATATTCTTTGAATGATCAGCGATGAAATCTATCGCAAAAGATTTTAGACCTTTATGGGAAACCATGTCTGCAAGTGCTGCAATTTCACACGCATTTCTGTCTGATATTTCAGACTTCAAGAAGGATCCACACATTTCCTTCAGGCGAAGAACTTCATACTTTTCAGCAACGATTAATAGATTTTTAGCGCCGTCATAATCCATTTTGTCCACGATATCACAGTATATATAATTCATAAACGCTTTAAAAGTGTCAATATCGACATCTTGAATGTCCACAATTCCAGTTTTCGCTTCAACCATATCAAGTTGGAACATGGCATGGAATACTGGCGACCGGGCGGCTAGAATTGATTTGTGAGCTTGTACGATCTCATCCTCAACTCGTATCTTAACGTCGCATAATGTTTTATCAGAAAATAAATTTCGAATATCACTTTGCACGGTGTGTAGACTAATATCGGTATCATCGACAAGCATTTTTCTTTCGCTGTTTTCATGGATTACTGCTTGCGACTCTATGCATCCAGAACAAAATAATTCGCACAAAATAAGCATTCTTCCATTTTTAATGTATTTATTTCGATTATGCTTTATTTCGGAGACAGGAAAGAAGGAAGGCATTACCCACTCGTTATTGTCTTTTGAAAAGATATTCTTGTCCTTTATAGAGAATATTTGATTCCCTTTGGCATCTAGCAAACTAATTTTGCAATCGATATATTGCGGTGAGTCATTGTCACATCTATCAATTCTTATTTGTACATCTTCTATCATTTTTTTAAAAGTGATACACCATTCAATCATATCTGAAAAATAGAACAATTTCTTCATAATTGACTGATTTTTCATGTCCAGCAGTGCATTTATCTCATTTTTTTCCCAGGTCAATCGAAGGTTTAGTTGATTAACAATAATTTTAGTTCGAGCAAGGCAATCTGGAGAGTTCGCAACACTGGATTCTGTACTCGATATATGACAACAAACAGTCAGGAAATCTTTATTCACTCGAAAAATATCATGTTTTACAATTGCAGTTTCAACTAGATTACCTCCTCTTGACAAGTTACCTTCATTAAAAACTACATTCTTTTCTTCATAAACCCCTAGTAAGTGACCACCTGGCCCGATTATTTCTATTTTAAAATCAATGACAATTTCCCTCTCTTCTTCAACTAGCCATAATTCGAAATACACGTTTGATACACTGTCGTCATGCGATGGATCATCTTTTGGAAATAAAACCAACTGCCAATGACTTTGATCAAAATTTTCATCAGGGAAGTATGGGCTTCCGATAGATTCTTGATAGTAAAAAGAGAAGTTTTCGATTTTCCAAGTAAAACTAAAGCCTTTCTTCTTAATGCCTGTCATAATTTCAAAGACAGAATACTCTCAATCTTACTCCTTGAACAATATGCTTTGGTGCACAGCTTGCAACACGAACAAACAGTAATAAACAAATGGAAAGAGGCCAAATCAAGACCGCCAAAAAGCGAGTTATTCAAAATCTAGCAACCATGTCACCTTATTTTACAATATATTTCTAAATAATTAAAACAAATTTTCACTTCAAACTCACGAGAATTACATAATAACATTAATATCTTATGAAATACGGAAGATTTGAGCTCAGAAATTGGCTAATTTATTTCTTTTATTGAAAACAAAACTATCCGTTTGAAAATATCGTCTCGCAGAATAACATGTAGTAAGCAGCTGCAAACTTTCTAACCGGAACTAGAGCAGGCATGCAGCTCGAGATTGTTTACATTTGTACTGAAAACACAATCCATTCGAGAATTACATGCTGGAAAGAACCGTTCTTACTACCTATAATGTTCCTTGTGATTCAGAACTTGATTGGAGAGTTTTCCCGTGGGTAAAACTCGACGACTTATCGGGTTTTCATTCCCATCCGAAAAATACGCATCTGCTGCATACGTTTCAGAGTCATGAAGAATCGAACCTTGTAAAAGTGACATACCAAGTGACATCTAAAAGAACTAGTTAACATGCTCTGAAGTGGCAACAACACTACATCTGTTTGCGTCCGTCTAAAATATTGATTGGTTTGGGTTTTGATTTGACAATGGATCCTGCTGATTTAGTTGAAGTTGATTTGCAAGCTGATAAAAGTAAAAAATGTTTAGATCGATGGATGGAAAATCTTCCAGAAGAAGCACATACCCTTCCTTTGCATTGTTTAGCTATCCCGGGTTTGTATTCTCTTCATATTTTCAACAGGTTGTCGTTTCTTTTTTTACATAACCAAGATGGTAAATAAAGCCAGAAAAATAGTAAATAAAACCTTTCATTGCGCAGTTATGAGTTGCACCTTAAGACACAGTATATAGATATTTTAAGATATATCTATCAGACAAATTCAACATTATTTCAGTGTCTTTGAATTTGTTTATATCTTTAATACGAAATACATAATTTTTGAAATATTTAATACTAACTTGCTCCCCCCCCTCTTCGTATTAAACAAACTAAACTCATGTTTCATTCAATCAGTTTAATATAATAATATCCTATTAAATTAAACCGTTTTGACTTAGGTTATTCCAATAATTTTTAAAAAAAATATTTATACATTCTAGAAAATATTATAAAATAATTGTGATTATTGAATTAATTCGATAATCGCAATTATTAAATTAATGACTAATTGTGTAGATTAATGATTAAAATAATTGTGAATGGTGATTGTGAACTTGTTGAATTATGTCAACATAATTTTAAGACTTTTTTAAAAAATCTTTTTATAAAAGTAAGGTTTTTGAGATCGCTTGAAAAATTAACTCTTTATTTACAAAAAAAGAACTTTTTTTAATTGTTATTAAGTTAAAAAATCAAAATGATACAACTTATTTCAATTTTTTAACTGTCCAATATGTTTTCTTGTATTTTCTAAGACTATTTGTAAAATAGTCTATAAAATTTTATGTTGAAATACCTATTTTATTTATTCATACATTACTTAATAAAGGTAAATGGAATTCAAGGAAATAACTTCTTATTTGTAACTCTTCAAATAATATGTCACTCTTGACATTTGATTGATCAGAAAAGCATCAATCAGGAATCATTTTTGCATTTTGTTTACAATTCCTTAATAAAAAAGTAAGTGAGTAAAATTTAATAAGCCGATCAAATTTAATAAGACTGATTGAAATAAATAACTACAACAAATTTAATCAAAATTAAAAAACATATCTTCTACATTTTTTTAAAAAAAAGTTTCTTTTCTATCTTTTAAGTCACTGATTATTACTTTTCATAGTTTCTTTTTTATCATTAACTAATTTAATTAGGAAGTTTTTTTAAAAATATAATTGAAGTTTGTTGAGTAGTAACAGCAACTTTTTATTTTTAGTGACATTGATGTTTGTTACCATTCAGAACTTTAAGCTTTGAAATGTGTATTTCAGAATATTTGATACCTTAAACTGGATATAACTATTAATTAAAATTTCTATTTTTTACCGTATTATCTTCCAACCTTTTGAGTGTTAATTTTTCATTTTTTTAATGTTCATCTACAACGAATAAAGTTCTTTCCTTGCGATAAAGTAGTGCATAGCAGGAAAATTTCAGTTTGACTTTGTCCAGAGGCTGAACACTTGAAAAGAAAAATTAATGAAATTTAAGTATGGACCGGCCAGCTGCAAATGAGGGAAATCAGGGAATTTTTCCAATCTCGATCACAGGGAAACATCATGGATTAGATCTGGTAAATTAATTTGAGTTTGAAGAAACTTAAACTGGTACTAAAGTTTGAAGAATTCGTTTAAGCATATTCATTTTTCCAAAAAAATTAGTCTTGTAATATTTGTTAAAATTTATTTTTGACTCTAATGGAAAATATAATTGTTTTGTAATATATTTTATGCTTAAGAATAAAGCATAACTAAAAGATTAATAGTAAAATTTATGATTACAAAAATCAGAGAAATTCTGTAAAATCTGGAGATTTTCATTGAGGGTTAGTGGCCACCTTGATAAAAATTTATATCATCAGATTAATTTTTTTAATATTTTTTTAGTTTTCTTCAGATATATCAGAGATTGTAAAAGAATGAAATAGATGGGATCATTCACCATTAATATAAACTATTCTATGACTTGAATGTAAGATGTAAATGAATGTTTGAACATCTGTTTCATTAGTATCTTAAAAGAGCACCACGGGAGTTCCATTGCACATAGTATGTAGAAATCTACTTTTAAAAAAATAATAATAATAGAAAATTTGAATAAATCAAAAACTTCTACAAAGTTAAAGGAAAATTGATTTGACTATAATAAACAATGTACCAACTAGAAATTGTGATTAATTCATAGCACCAATTACTAATATCATTGATATTAGAATCTAATGATTTCAAATCCTCGTATAGATTTATTCATTGTTAAAATTGCCGAAATGGCAAATAAAATCCAAATTAGCAAAACATAAGAATTAAAAAAAAAAAAACATTATTTATATGAAAACAATTTTTTTTTTGTAGGTTCTCATGATTCTATGAGCTGCACTGTAACACCACAGTCAGACGTAGCACCCGATGATCTTGACCTCTATAATTCTTACTTCATCCGTGCAACAAGTTGCTTGTCAAAAAGAGTAATCTACAACTGGTGTTGCACCCAATCCTTTGACTGCAAGCAACAACTTGAAGCAGGAATCAGATACTTTGATCTGAGAGTGGCTAAACGACCTGAGGATGGACTTCTATACATAGTGCATGGCCTGTATGGTGCAGAAACCAAAAAAGTACTTGAAAAAATGCACGAATTTCTAGACTCACATTCCAAAGAAGTGGTTTTGTTAGATTTCCAGCATCTGTACGAGATGAACCATTTTGACCACCACAAGTTGCTGCACCAACTCACAGAAATCTTCGGGGCCATGCTGTGCCCTTATGTTGCGGACCTTACTGAATTCACTTTGTCGTGGATGTGGGAGAGGGGGTTTCAGGTTGTGGTGTTCTATCGAGATTCGGTTGCACAATACCATCCCTTCCTGTGGCCATCTGAATCCATTCCAAATCCTTGGCCAAACACAAGGAGCATCAAGTTTTTGCTCGCTTTCTTGACAGGATACGAGAGGAAAAGAGAGGCAGGTAAGTTCTTTGTATCCCAGTCCATTCTGACGCCAAATCTGTTTTTCATTTTGAGGAATATTCTTGGGAATTTGAGAAGCGTGCTGGTGAACGAGAGCAACAAGCAGCTTCTGAAATGGCTCGAAGACAAACATCCCGGCCCTCATGGCTTAAATATTGTCATATGCGATTTTATTGACTACAATGACTGTGCCATTCCTCAAAGTATTATCAACCTGAATCACAAATCACCTATCATGTCCAGCAATGTGCGAAAAAGTAGTTATGAAGTGGTTTGATTTTTTTAAAGTATGATTTGAGTAGTGCCAATACTATCAACAAAAAATTTGTAGTCTTTTTAATTTATTAAATGTTGACTATTTGTTTATATGCAACAAAAATCACTTTTTAATTGGACAAAAAATTAACTTTAAGCTTTGAACATGAAACATTTTATTTCCTTAAAAGGAATTGTAATGTATTATTATTTGTTTTAATTTAAATAAAAAAGTCATATTAAAATTTTTTTTAATTCTTTTTTTTTGGAAGGNTTTTTTTTGGGGGGGGGGAGGAGGAACTTATTATGAACTCTCAGAAGTACTCTCCTTTTAAAATTACGAACTTCAGATATTGAACAAGAGACATTCTGAATTCAAAGTCTTCAAACTAAAAAATTTTTGCGCAAGAAGTTAAAATTTCTAAATCTTGGATACTTCTAAGAATTCAAATATCACTTTTATGCTAAGTTTATTTTTTTATTGTGGAAATTTTCTTGATCTATATATATATATTTAAAATACAAATTTATAAAAGTAAGGTTCATTTATATAGCTATCTTACAAACCTTTTGTTGGTAGTGTGTGCTGCAAGTCAGGGGTGTTCAATTCCTTTACTTATAAATTTCTGTATTTAAAACAAATAACATAAAGCTGGCCATGATCATAATCTATTTCTTTTAATCATTACTCAGCATGACTATGGTTTTTAAAACAGCGATTAATAGCATTCCTCATCATAATCCCATTAGGATTCTTCTTTCTATGAATTCATAGAACCATAAAGTAACTACTTAATTGTAGTCATGTTAGGATATATAACTTTTTTGTTTCTAACCTCCACTAGGGGAAAAAAAATACTGCATACTGTTTAAAATAATTCAAAGTTTAACTAACAAAATTTTGAAAGAAAAAAATTGATTAAAAACTTATAATGTATCATGTTATATTTTGATTTACTACATACACTACTAGTTGAAAACCATTTAAAAAGAATATTGTTCAGTTAATTATAAATGTGAGAATTTTGATTAGTTATGAATATATATGTTACGTTGAAGTAATAAAATATTATTAATACTCAATATTAATAATAACCACTTCTTTTGGTCAAAGTGAGAAATTATTCACTTGAACTGGTTAATATTATTAATAAACTATGTAGTCAATGTGATTAAACAGTTTATATAGCATTGGGACATGGGTGTGCATATTTGTTATAGTTTAATTTATAAATGTGGTTGTTTTTAATACTAACCAGTCAATATTAATAACCTTTTTCTTGGTCAAAGTGAGAAATAAAATGGGGAGATTTCTGTATCGTGATCTGTGACAGAATAATGCCAAGTCGTGGCAACTTAATTTTTCCAGTTTGAAATCAATTTGGTGATTGTAGTTGGTGTGGCAGATTACGACATGGAAATATTTCCAATAAAAACCCGAAAAAATGACATTTACCAAACTTTATTGGTTATTATTAATAATAATGGGAAATGTGATAAATTTGCTTCAATTATTCATGTTAGCTGGCTTATTTGGTTATTATTAATATTGACCGGTTAGTATTAATAATAACAGAATATTCACATTGACCATGACATATACATTGGTTTTTTTGAAGCAACTCATTTCTATTACAGCTATTACTTTCTTTTTTAATCCATCTTACAGTGGATGCAATATACACAGTATTTTAAAATTTATTTTGCTTTTCAATATTGTTTAACAAAATTAAAACAATGTATCAAATAAGCATAATGAAATCATATAAATAGTAAAAACTTGAATATTTATTTTTACGAATATAAGATATTATTTTAGTTTATCACATTTGAATGTTTTTAAGCCTATGTTTGATAGAATCATTGAAAAAGTACAAATTCATTTAGCTCATTTTAAAAGATATACAAATGGAATTTTATGTAGTTATAATAGTTCTAGAATATTGTTTATAAATGTGTGTATGTGAGAGTCATATTCATATTTTTTTCTCACATTTCAATATTTAGTAAATACATTTTTATTTTTTCGACTAAGTCCTTGTAATATACATGTTATTTTAAGTAGAACAAACATAATTTTAACCATGAATAAAAAAAATAGAAGTATAATTTTTGAAATTAATATTTAGATTTGACAAAAATTTAAATAGAGTATAGGGCTGAATTGAGCTCTATTGACATTCAGACTTTGCAGCTCAGTTTAAAATTAAATATGTCATTAAATTAGTCAAGATAAAAAAAATTTTACTAGGCCCTAAGTAAATTGAGCATCCCTGGTAAATAATTTGTTGTAGTTTTATGCTTTTTAAAGCTTTGGCCTATAAATGTTGTTATAAATGTTCTATGTAAAACATAATTGTATATAGATACACACTTAATAAATGTAAGTTTTGTTTAAAAGGTATGTATTCCTTTCCAAAAGGAGTTGAAATTTAAGTACAGTGATCATAATGGTGACTAATTTATAATTAGACTAATTTCAAGTTTTAGTTTTCTTTCATTTTAAGGAAATTGTATTGATTTCAGACATGAATAAATAATAGTAAACTTTTTTTATGGTAGTCACAAATATGAATCATCCCAAAAATTTTATCAAAAATTTTTTTATAGTCTACTTAATTAAAAATATTTGTAAGCTTGTACTTACAATATATACTGAAATTAGTAACTAGAAGATCAGTTGCATTGAGTTTCCAAAATTGCTGTGATAAATTGTGTTAACAAAATATTAAAATTGTTATGCAATATGAATTCATTTTTGTAAACAATTAAATTGGGGAAATTGGCTGGCACTGTGATATTTTAGCTTTTTTATTTCAATTTTATTAAATGTTTTATTATTGTGTTTGATTTTTTTTAAAATATGTATAGATATAGGTAAAATATACATTACTTAGCTATACTGGTATGCATTTCTTTATTTTTATTTATAATATGAAATTTTAAATAATAATGCATTGATTTAAGCTACACATTCTATTAAAGTATTGTATAATATATTTAAGTAAACATGATGAATAAATGTGCAAAAAAATACAAATAGATGAATGTAAGATTAGTGTAGTCTCCATAGTGAAATGGTGTAGTATGGAATTGTGTTATTATAAATAAAAATAAAAACAAAAGTGAGTAAATTTCTTTCTTTTAATAAATATGAATTAATGATTTTGTTATAATTCACTTTATACAAAAATTTTACAAAAAATAAATAGATTTCCTTTTGTACACATGTTTCTGTTGATGCTCAAATGACATTTTAGACCAAGAGAGGAATCTACAAGAAGTAAAATAAATAAAAAGCATTTAGTATATTTTCTGTACATATGTTACGATTTACACCCAGCAAGAGGAATATGAATAAAAAAGACCTCATCTTACAGTACAGCAAAAAAATTTACATAGATAACTAAACTTAAATATTGAAAAGGTCTCCAATTTCACATATCATGGTTCAATAATCAGTGATAACATTTCCTAAGAATTTCATTTTTACTGTCACAAAGGAGTGGTAAGAGGAAATTTTTAATTTTGAAACTATTTTTAAAATTAAAAATTAATTCAATTTGAAATAAAATGAATATCAATTATTTTAGATGAAAATTAAAATAATTGAATAAAAAATAATTGAATTAATATTTAATATAATTGAAAATTAAAATAATTGAATTAATATTTTAGATTTAATCGGGAACTATTTGTAATAACTACCATAAATGAAGCAATTAAAATAAAGATACGTATTAAGTACAGGGGTCTGTCTAGGTTTTTCTGAGAGGTNAATATCAATTATTTTAGATGAAAATTTTCTTTTAATCGGGAACTATTTGTAATAACTACCATAAATGAAGCAATTAAAATAAAGATACGTATTAAGTACAGGGGTCTGTCTAGGTTTTTCTGAGAGGTACTTATTTTGTGAATATTTAGACAATTTGTGAAAAATTAAAAATTTTATTAAAAAATCAACAAAAAAATATGGATTTATTATTTCTTAAGGGATACAAAAATAAAATTTTAAGAAAAAGTATTTTGTGAAACTACCGTTTTTCCTAAAATTCAATTTGTGAAACTACCGTTTTTCCTACAGTTGAATTTGTGAAGGTACCGCTAAACGGTAGTAAATTCGGCCTGGACAGACCCCTGAAATATGATTTATATTTTCAAAAGTTAAATTCAATTATATATTTAACATAACATGAATATAAAATCAGTACATCTCTTCAGCGTAGGATCCCAGATTTTTGACAATTTAATTGTGTATTGTCTGTTTTTATTAAACTGCCAAATTTACTAGGTTAAGATGGTTAATTTTCTTATACTAGTATTTTAAATAATATTAACTTACTGACTTGTACACTAAATTGTTACACTAATTTTTTGCACTAACATCTAATCAAATGTCTAAAATTGTTTTACTTATTTATCTTTTAACAAATAATATGACTTTTCTGTTAATACACAAAATAATAAGAAAGCAAACATAATATTTTATATTAAGAATAAAGGATTATAATGTGAATAAAACAATGAATTATAATGAAATGAAAGTTAATCATCAGGGATGTGATTGACAAAAACACAAAAAAGAGGAAGTTTATAACTGTAGCATTAAACGTGCAAAAGAAAAAATGATATGAATTCAATAGCNTTCTCAAAATTAAATGGTAACAAAAACATTGAGTGGAAAAATTTAGGGGATTGAGGAAAGAAAAAAAAATATTGGGATCGCTACTCTGTTAACTCAATAGAAAAAGAAATTTTAACAGAATGCACTACAAATTTGTAAGTCTCAAAGCTGTTAACACATACGAGGAAACATAAATCAGATATATGTATTATGCTATTGGCATTTGTACAGAATTTTTGCCAATTATAAGAGGCAGGAGGGGGCATTTTTATATATATTTTTTTTTTCTTGCGAATTTCGTCAACCTATTCATGAAAAAAATTATAGCAAGCCAAGTTTGTTTAAGAGGAGATATATATATCAGACATGTGATTGCTGAAAGAAGAAATTATCTGAATTTTTTTTATACTTGATTTTTTTCACCATCTTCTGCAGACTGTCATTATATTTACATGAATAAACATGTATATTGAAAAAAATTACAGATTACTCCTATTTCGCATTTATCAAGTCATCGCATCAGGAAAGAAAAAAAGATTTTGAAAACTGAAATCTACGTCAATAATTGAAAAAGATTAATAATTAAACCAAACATAAAAAATTTGTTAAAAATATCAAGATTTTAAAAAAATATTTGAAAATAAGTAAGTAGTGATAACTACCAAATAAGTGATAGAAAAAATTATGGCATTATCTCGTCAATTAGTGAATACTCGAGTGCACGCTTTCTATTTCCCATATCATAATACTATTAGCATTTTTAAAAAATAAGAAGAAAAAAAAACATTTTTTCAGCAAGTAGGTTTTTTAAACGTTTGCCATTTCAGAATTACTCTTTAGATTATCAATTCTATACTGCCTAAGTTCATTATGTCTAGAAGTTAAACAAAAAAAATTCAGTCTTGTATTGATAAAGTTTATCCAAAATTGCATTTTTCTCCAACAAATCTGCTTAAAAAAAATTTTTTATCCCACGTGACTGAGAACTTAGAAAGACAAAAGAGAGGGTACTGGTAAGGGCAGAATAAATGTAATATTAAAAGAGATTTTGCAAAAGTTAAAAGAGATTTTGCAAAAGTAACTAAGTTTAAATTTTAGACAGGGAAATAAAATATTGAGTAAAAGAATCACATGCCTGATATATATTAGCATACCTGCAAACATTGGAAAAATAAAATAAGAGATTTTACTAACAACATTTTTTAGGCTACAAGTAAAGTTTTGATACATCATGCATAATCATGTAAGTCAAAAAGAGAAATTCAAAATTAGAAATATAATATAAGCACTTGCATTTAGTGAAGTAAAAAATATGTATATAAATCATAATCTAAAGAAGATTTTTTTAAACCATTATTTATAATTACTTAAACTATTAACACTTAACATACTGTTGTACTAGCAATAGCACTATCTATTGAGGAATGTATTTTTGCCATCAGCAGATATTTTATTGACAAATGTTTTTATTTATACTTCTTCAACAAATACTGAATATTTTAAGTAAACAGGAGACAGTCATAAATAAAATACAGGAGACTTGGCAGATATGTATTAGTTCAAGAAGGTTAATGGTTGTACTTATTCCGAATTTAATATTGCTAAAAACAGGGTAATTTTTAAAGGTTTTGGCTCATGGTTTTTAAATGTATAGTCGTATTTACACTTTTGTCATAAAAAATGTATGTTTTATTTGCAGCATGTGCTGCAATTCTGTTTTTAAAGAGTTGAAACAGTCAGTTTTTCAGAAGTGCTAAATTCAATTTTATGTATTTTTTCTATCTTTGAATAGTATTCTCACAACTAAGCTAAAAATATTTTTATGCTGTTAAAAATTATTTAAGATACATCTATTTGAAAAAACAAACCTAAAATTAAACTAAAGTGGCTTTTTTAACAGAATCTTGATTCTGATACCAAGAGACCATTTCATCATGAAAAGTATCGGCCAAAGAAATCTGCAGATCAATTTCACCCAATGAGAGACTCTTGTCAGGATCTTCAGGATGCCTCATTACAGGAACAGCAGGGGAATCACCTTTATAGCTAGGATACAAATATTGAAATATTTATTTATAAGAATAATGAAAACAAAAATTTATTAGTACAATATAAGGCAATGCAACTAAAACTACAAGGTGGAGCATTTGCAACTTTTAATAATCAATCTTTTTGGTAAAAATAGAAGCTGTAATGCTGAAACTAACTACACCAAATTATAAACAGATGAAACAATGACTGGTTATAAACATGGTAACAGAATTCCCTGAGTCAACTTGCAACAGTCACTTGAAAGTCATTATTGTAATTAGCTGGCTTAATATAACATGCATAAACTAAAATATTTAATGTTAATAAAAATTATATGCAAAAAAATTTAAATTGTTAAAAAATTATAATACTTTAACTAGATTCTTGTTTGAAAAATTCAGCTTGAAACCAAGTAAAAGACATTTCTGACTGAATATAATTTTAAAAAAATTCTTTTTACTTAAAATCTGTTAGCAAGGAGAAATAATTTCATGTGAGATTTTTTTTATAAAAGTTAAAAATTATTTTATTAGTTTCCAATTTCCTTTTACGCTGCTATTATTTTTTTTTACTAGGAGAGAAGTGTTATAACAGGCTTTAGTTGCCATGTTCTGATATACCATGTTCATTCACCATATTTTTTCAGTCATAATATCGACAACCAAAAGCACTTTTCTGCTTTAAGGCTGATTTTTAGAAGCTCTGTGTGAATATAATGTGCTGTGAATAACACATTTTTGAAAATATGCTATTTTCATAACTGATGTGAGTTGATTCATGACTTTAGGTAAGTTTAGCTAGAGCCCTTTAAGCTAATTCTGAAAATGGCCCAAAACATTAATATGAAGAATAGCTACTTATGTGAAAATGATATGCATTTGTTATCTAATTTATTAGTATTTAAAAATCTACTCCAATGCAGCATTATTTGGGCTCATAAATATTTACAAAAATTTTGAATTATTCATTAATTTTGATAAATTGCATCTAGGTGAAAATTTTTTGTCAAAATAGCAGCTTTTAAAAAAAAGTTTAACAATTTTCAAAATATTGATGTTATTTATCCGTTCTAAAGCCCAAATAATTCTTTATGGCAAGATGGTTTATATTAGATTAAAAATATAGTTTTATCCCAAGTGTACGACACTTAAACTGTACCTTTTTTAAAAAATTTCCTTGGCAAAAGTTTCAAGAAATATTGTTAATAGTCTATAAACAAAATATCAATTCTTCATTTAAGATAAAGGGACAATTTTGAAAAAATGTTTAAATAGGGGAGAATTTAAATAAAGTATACTTACTATTTTGTGGATACTTCTATGTGTTCTTGACTATCAAAAATAGGAACACTACTGCTAGTGATAATTTGCTTAGGAATTTTTCCCATATTAATATGGACAGGCCCCTGGGGTGAATAATCACAGTTCATATTTTCTGAATTTGCAGCATAAAACTGATGATTAGCTTCATGCGGGTAAATCGTGCAATGTTGAACGAGAGAGTCATCAGCACTAGGTGAGAGAGCGGCTGATTGCTGGCGACGATGTTTGGTGCTGTATTTGTAAAAGTCAGACAGCTCGTAAGGTTTAGTTTCCTCCCAGTAAGGCTGGAAATGCCCCATAGAAACAACATTAACCTCCACGGCTGGAGTCAAACTAACACTCGGAGACGGCAAATTCACACTGGATGGAACAGAGGACTCAGGCTTTTCCACGACAGAAGGCCACTGCTGAATCGGTGGGGCATTTTCTGGAATGATTTCACTAATTTTAGGTGACTCTCTATGGGATGCTGAGTAAGGATGAGACAGTTCTCTAATATCACAGTGTGCTTGATGATAACCAACACGATGAGTAGAAGCACCGAATTCGATAGGTTCGTAATCATTGTCTGGTGGGAGGTTGCAATAGTCGTGATTGGCAAGATTGACTTCTGCTGATGTTTGGTGGGATGGAGATCTCTTCAGGTGCTTTGATGGCTCCTGAGGTTGTGCAATTGCTGGACAGGCGGAATGAATTTCATCAAAGTTATCCTCCCTAATGTTAATGTGTCTGGCATTATGAATTGTATTTTCAATAAGATCTGGCATCTTTGTGGAATTGTTCAAACTTAACTCTATATGATCGATGTTTTCATAATACGAACCATTTCTAACTTGTTTCGAAGAGGATTGGAATGATAGATCATCTATGTTTTCGTAAAGTCGATACGGATTATTTTCGGGAAATAAATTCCGATTCAAACTTGAGTGCGGTCTTTCGGTGGGAATGTGCAAAGAGAAATTACTGGCTGAACTCAAAGGTCTGTAGTCCGCACAACAGTTACCCTTCATGTTCTGATTAACGTGAGGTGGTGAATCCTGCATATCGGAATTTTTGTGTAAAAATATCCGGGAATCTTCCCGTAAGTCTCTGGAAGATTGATAATTGTAAGCAGGCTCAGGGGGTAGGCCATTGTCTAACCATTGGGCTGGCTGAGAGAGCTCACTGCTACTCTCAGAAATTTTAGGTTTACGCTTTCTGATCACTAAAGGAGAATCTAAGGAAGTCTCGGTCCATTCTTTCGTTTTAGTTTTTGGAGTACTAACTTCTGGATTGCAAGAGGCTGCTCGTTTACTCTCTTGTAGCAAAACAGAAGCTTGGACTAAATCAACAACTTGATTAATACTGTGGTTCGCACCAGAATACTCATTCAGTGAAATAGCCAGTCCACTATTATAAGGACGCAAAGTATTTTTAAGAGTGGGTACGCTGTACCCATGACGAATAGTACCATGACCGTCGACTGAATCTGCATTCAAATCTGGGTCACTCAAATGCACCTCATTTATCTTACTACCGTGCAGCGAGCCCATGTGTGCTCTGTGCAAGGAATTTACTGAATGAGAGTGGGGAAAAGTGTCCCTTCGAACTGGTTCTTTTGCATAGGGCACCTTAAACGAAATATCGGCATTTGAAAATTTCAAAGTTTCATTGCTATTCATGCATGCCTTGTCATAATCACTTCCCTGCAAAGTTTTGTCCATTATCGAATAGTCGGACTGGATAAATGTCAGCCTTTCGTCATAAGAACAAGAAAGAGGTGTGTGGACACTTCTCTTTGACTGAGTCATATCGACATAGCACTGACTTTGTGTCTCTAAGCATTTGTCATCTAAAAGAAAGTCTTCAGTATCGTTGAACACTTGACTAGCTCTTCGGTTTGGAACACTGTAATGATTGGTACCTTCAATATCAAGATGAGTTTCAAATCTAAATAAGAGAAAAAACAATCAAAGTATTAAAAAACTAAAAAACCAATACTTTACAGAAATATGTATTAAATAGATTTCTATAAATTCATTATTTATCAACAAAAAAAATCATATATATTACATTTGTTGTTGTTGGCATTACTGCACAATTATTAATACACAAATAATAAGACTTCTCATGGTTAGGAATTGCATACATTCTGACAACCTGAAACCAGAGTTGTTTTTCCTTTGTTTGGAATAATTATGACTATTTTATAATATTCTGAAAATTCTTTCTTAAGAATTTGCTTCATTTTAAAAATGAACCTTATAGTTAACTTTTATTGCATGAAAAATGCTCCAAAAATACAATACATAAAATACAATCCAATCCAATCCAAAAATACAATACCAATAGTTTTTTAATCTTTTAAAAGTTTTAATGGGTAAAAAAGTAACCACATGTTTTAAAAAGTGGTCACCAGTCAGTAGCAAAATTTTCTAATGTTGCCCTATACAATGGGCTTCTTTTTTCTCAGGAAAAACTAGTGAAAAAACATTTTTAAGGGTCAGAAACCCTCAATTGCATAAATACAGCTGCCTCTAATTGTAATTGGAGAATAGAATATAGAGATACCTATTTCTGTAAGGAATGCCTAAAGATGCGACACTGCTGCTGCCACAGCTAACAGCGTCATATTCAGAGGCAGCAGAAAACGATGATGAGTCTCTTCTGGGACACAAGCTGAATGGAGCAGCTACCTCTTCATAAGTGTCATCTACAACTGCAGCTGGAACATGCTGTAAAGATTGGTGCCTCTGGCGGTTTTTTGGTGGGCTTGGTGGTGCTGATGTGCTTATACCTTCTACTAAATGAGGCAGCGATGAGGAAGGTGGAACTGCAGAATTCTAAAGTAATGGAAAAAAATTAGTGCAGAAAGAGGGTTAAATTTTATTTTTCAACCAGCATAAAACAATTCAAAGCAGTTCCTTAATGTTACAAAAATAATTTTTGAATAGTTTTCAATGTGCCTTATAATAATATTCTGAAAAGTTAAAAAATAATAAATTCTTAACTAATTATTAACTTTGGTAACACAATGTTTTTATACACTTTTTGCAGTTTTTTTTCTCCCTAAACAAGAAATGCATTTAGTGAAAATCTGGTATTGTTATTGAAAAAGTGAATTTAAAAAAAAGTAAATTTAAATTCTTATGTCATAAGTCTGAAGTAAATAAAATACTAATTATAGTTTTATATGATGAAATGGCTAAAAATAAAAACATTAAATTATTTAACTTAATATTTGTAAAATCAAAAAAGAACTAAGTTTATAATGTTAAATTACAATACTACTAGTAGTATTGTAATTTAAACATTTGGCCAGTAGGCTACTTTGACCTGGCAATTTATCCCTAATATTTTCTTAATATGGTATGGTACATTGGCCTAATGACTTGAATGAAATGACTGAAATTCTAAAAGAGGAAAATACCCTCTGTTATTAAGCAATAAGGGAGATTTAAAATTTTTGTATTATGTTAGCCCACTCATAATTATGCTATAAGCCCACTTATGCTCTTTATTTATTCATTTTTTTACTAAGCTACTCCTATGTTCTCTTACTCATTTCTGTTGAACTTTATCTTTTCTAGATAGAATTTTCACTATAAATATATATGTAGTGGCTAAAAAATTACTAAATCCCTAATTTTAAGATTTTTTATTAATTCGCTTTGAAAGCAGGTACGTAAGAGTCAACATCATCTACTACATAATATTAACAAGAATTACAACCAAAAATCAATTAAGCATTTAAAATAGTTGTTTTAATTTTACAGCTCATTCACTTCAGCTGGAAACTTTAAAAACAAGTAATATATTTTTTGTAAAAAAAAAAAAAAAACCTTTTTTTTATTTAAGTAAACAGTGAAGATTACTTAGTAACAGTGAAAATTTTCAGTAATTACTTAGTAACAGTGAAATTTAAATAAACAGTAATAAATAGAAAAATAAAGAAAAGGATGATATTTAAAACAGAATAAAATCTTTTACTTACGCTAAGAGCAGAGTTCATACTACTGCGATCTGGGATGGAGTTTTCAGAAGATGAGTTAGGAAGACCTACATAATTTAACCTGTTATCACTTACAGCACCTGAAAAGAGATAAATTAAATGACGACNAAAAAAAAAAAAAAAAAAAAAAAAAATAAGGGATAAAAAAGAACATCAGATTACTTATTTTAACACTAACATGGACAATATAAACAGTTTCAGGAATAAAAAAAATATAAAATTTTATTTCTTGGCCTAAATAATGTAGTTGTTTAGGAAATCATTTTACATTCATTCATTATTAAATTCACTCATTACAAAAACTTAACCTCAAAATTATTTTACTTTAATTATGAATAACAAGTAAATAAAGAAAAAAAATTTTTCTTTATAGATTATGATATCAGTATTCGAAATTAAGACATTTTCTTTCAATTGTGGAATGAAAAAAATTTCTTTGGATTTCAAAGTGGTGAAAGTTCATGACCAAAACTGATGCAATAATCAAGACACAGGGATGAGATTAGCTAAAAGGCAAAAAAGCTGAATTTCCACGATAGTAAATTTTACGCAAGCGCAACCCTTTAACAATAAATTCCAGACAGTTTAAGGTAATAAATTATGTGTTGATATACAATTGTGTACTAATCTATTATTATATAAANACAAAAAGTTGTCAATGAAAAAGTGAAAAATACAAGTAACAAAGGAAAGCGATGGTGGTCCAGAGAGGTTAATCAGAGCAAGACAGACTTACAAGTCTGATGTTGGGGAAAGGAGGAACTTGATGCTCTAGGAAACAAGGTTGCAGATCATAAAGATGAGCTGGTGTGACAGGGATGGAATAAAACTTAGTGCTATTGTGAAGTTAAAATTATAATAGAATATAGTAAAATTTATTCTAGAAGCTATAACAATGTGCAAAAATAGATGTTTATCAGATTTAGCTGTGTGTCATGTTATCTATTAATTTATTTCTATTCTACGGCAAAAAAAATTTTTTTTATCACTAATCCATGCACACCATTATGTATCCATGCACACCATTATGTACATAGATTAAAAAATGGTGATAAGAATTAATTTGCGAAACTAAATAACTATTTTAACCTGAAATTAAAATTAATGTATATACACTGCATTAAAAAAGAAACTTAGTAAATTTTGTACACATAAAACTATACCATTCAGCACAGTGAGAAAAAAATTTAACTTACATAATTTTAACTTACATGAACTGCTACTTAAGCTAGATTCTTTCTTCTGAGAATCTTTTTCTCTTTTAAGAGTTGATATCTTCTGCTCAATGTCCCTGAGCTATAATGGAAAAAAAAGTTAATTTAAGAAACATCATTTATAAAAGAAAGAATGCAAAAAAATATATAAATAAGAAATTTACCTTAGTGGTTGCTTGCTGATAGGACAGTTTGCGCATTTTGCGGACACTTTTGCGAGCACTGACATCATTTGCCAATTTAAAAGCAGCAGAAGCAATCTTACTTTGAATTTCATAATCAAGCTCTAAATCATTTAATGTCTCACGCTAAAGGGGAACAAAATATATATCTCAATTTTATGTGATATTACAAAACTATTACAAATGAAATACACTAAAATAATAAAATTGTTAATTAAAAACTTTTACATAAAATGATTAACAGTCTATTGATTTTAACTAAACATTGAAAATCATAACTGGCAATGAGTTAAAGGGTCAAGAAGGAATTCTTAAACAAAATGCCCAATTTTTTGAAAAACATATATATGTATGAGATTTTTATTTTATTTTTAGAAATTGACTCAAGTTAATACTCAGAACACTTCCTAAGTTATAGCAATGATACTGCACTGAAATAAAAACTTACTGAAAATAAAAAAAATTATACACCCATTTTCTAAACTGCAATCATCTGCAGACTCAAATATTTTGTTTTAGTTCACACAGAGTTATGTTAGGAATACTAGATGTTCTAATAAATCTTTCCAGCTAAAACTTGGTAACTGATTTGAATATAGCATGTAGCTCAAATTCATGAAAGAAATTTTTAAAAAAAACTTACTTGAATAGTGGTATATACTTTTCATTTATTTATTTAATTATTTTTTGATCAAAATAACTTTTTTTTTATAAAAATATAGAAAATTATAATTTTTTAATTAAAAAATACTTTTGATACCTCTACCTATTTAATATTGTTTGGAGTAATTAACGTAATTTTTATGACTTTTATTGTGCACATTTAACATTATAAAATTTTTCAAATTTTAGTGTTAAAGAAAATTACATTTTAAAAATTATTCCTATGGTTTCACAAAAGTGTTTGCATCTAAATAATGTCAGTACTGTTGTTAATTTCGTTCATAAATTTATTTACTAATTTTAATTATTTTTTTTAAACCTGAAAGTTTTCTTAAAAAATAATTTAAACTTTTTCCCCATGAGATAATTATATATTTTTTAATAAAAACTAAAAGAAAAACATTTAAAATGCTATAAATTACTTTAATTTTTTCAATATTAAAAAAGTTTTATTTTTATTAAAAAAAAATAATTGAAGTTGAAATTTTTATTCAGGGCATTCACCTCCTCACCAAATGCGATAAAGTCGTAAATTTGAAGGAAAAAATTGCGCTTTGGGGAAAGTATTCGCAAATGATTTTTGTTACCGAAAAGAAAAATATATATTTCTCTCAATCCTGAAGAGAAAAAATGTCAAAAGGGATTTTTCTGTACAAATCCTATATTTTTTTATTCGATTAGAGTAATTTCCATTAGCTATGTCTCATAACCAATTAGAATTATTCTAAGTCCAGATAATGTAAGCAACAAGAGAGATTATGTAAGCATGCAACAAACTACAGATTACATCGGTTGACGGATCACTCGATATCACATTAAAAAAAAATTCCAACAGTTTGTGTAAATAAAACAATTATGTGGTAGCAAGATGCATATCATCATCTAATTATTTTTGCAGAAAATATGCTCTCTCATGACAATAACATATACAATGTCATCTTGCCTATAGTTTATCTTTATATTACTGCAATTGTCTAATATAAGTTATCAAAAACTAACTCCCACCTATTTCTATTTTTTCCCCTCAACGACGATAAAACAATATCAATATTTTTCCTACTCTCTTCCATTTGCTCCTTTACTCCTCCCAAACTGCAAAATGGCTCTTGATTTGAATTTGTATTTTATAAAATAATTCCATTTTTAGTAAATTTGTATTTAACTTGTAAGTTAAAAAAATCAATCATAAGAAATTGTTAAGATACGCACGCCTTTGGCTAAGAATTTTGAAATTTGGCTAATACTACTTATGATATTTGGATAATTTACTGACTAATAATTTGAAATTTTTAGCTTTATTAAAAAAAAAAAAAATTAAAAATCCTTATTTTTTTTTAAATATTTTTTTATTATTTCAGTAAGAATTTCTACTTTAATAAAACAACACAATATCCTAATAATTATTAATTTTAAAAGACTCCTATTTAGATAACGAAAACAGAATAACTTCATTTAAAATTCAAGAAATAATTTTTAATAGCTGTACATTAAAGAGGAAAAAAAAAAAACATTTTTCAGCAGTAAAAATTGAAAGTTAAACTCTAAAAACAGCTGGGATAAAACCGGCGCCCTCTCGCATGTGTTAACAGTTGTTAGTTACATATGTCTTAATCGAGTTTTCTCTAAAATTACACATGGATTATTTAAGTTTTTTTAGTTTGATATTAAACAAATGCTAACTTTCAGGGGTCTTATTTTTACCCCATGGACTACAATTGCAACTAATTTTCACTACATCTTTTCTGTAATCACTCCCTTTAATTTAAGCTAAGTTTTATATCACAGATGTGTACTTCCCTTGTTAGACAGCTTAAGAATCCATGCTAAGAACTATGATTGGTTATTGATGCTTTTTTCTTCTAAGGTAAGAATTTATCATATTTTTCAATGGAAAAAATTGAAGTATAAGCCAATAAATTATAATAAGAATAATGGTAAGATAACTGGTATATAATGGTAAGATTTATTCATTTAAAGTAGAAGGAACAAAAATAAGATGTAACTTACATCTTTGCCTTTAGCACGATAGATGATTTTATCACTGATGGTGAACGAAGTTCCTATGCGTCTTCGCACCTGGGGCTGAGCTTCACCAGGTAGGTACGGTGTTTCAGGTGGCAACTCTCCAGTAATTTCCTATAAAAATAATAATATTTATCTGTCAGAATGAATCGAATAAAAACATTAATTTCCCCATTAAAAATACAGTTCTTATTTTAAAATTTTAATCGTTAAGTGACATACTTGAGACAAAAATAAATAAATGAATAAATAAATAAAAATGTTTTTAATGAAGTAGTATCTTACAAAAAGAAACTGGTTTGCTCTGTGAGAAAACAACGGCCTCAAACTAAACATAAGGTAGAGAAGACTAAAACTTCAAAAATAAAAAAAAGAAACTTAAATACAATATACAACATGACAAATTTATATTTTTTTAATTATTATTTTTATTCATTTTAGTTTGATCTAAAGTTACAATATAGATGAAATTTTTCAATTTTACAAAATGAAATTTAAATAAAAACTTTTTAAAAATTAATTAAAAATATAAAGTAATAATTTATTATAGAATTTAGCACTTAATTATAATTATAAAAAACTCTTGAGTAAAAAGCATGAGTAACAATAGTCAAACCTAAATTAAACATAATATAGCGAAACTAATACTATTTCGGCCAGGAAACAATATGACTTAATTTTAAAATGATGTGTTTTATCACTTGACCTCTTTAAGAGTTAGAATTACTATTTAAAGTGTGATAACATGCATAATATGAATAACTATTCTTATTAACAACTTCTAATAAGAAAATCTATTTTAAAGTGAAAAAAAAAATTTATAACTTGTTAATCACTTGTTGCTAAACAAAATGATTTACAATTTATAAACCTTATGAAAAAAATGGCTCTTTTTGTGTAAGACTTGTAGACCTTTTTTAAAATTTTACTCAGTGCAATTCATATTCAAATGACTTATGAACAACATACTTCAATTAAAAAATAACACACGATTACGAATTGCACATTCTAATTTAAGAATTTTACAAAGAAAATTGAAATCATTGAGAAATCACAGTACAGGTGCTATAATCAACGTAAGCAGAATGACAATATGAAAGGGACGGAACATATATAATCAACATAATGCAGAATAATTAACAAAGGGACTGCTCAACTGTAGAATTTCAAAACTATCTGATTTGCAAATATATTTTTGTATCAATCGTGAGGGTATCAGACAAGTATAGCAGAGATCAATAGCAAAAAAGAAGAAACCACTTACTCCCTCTTTAAGGCAGAGAGCTTTGAGTTCTTCTGTCTTCTTTTTGAGGGCTTCCTGAAGGGCATCTTTCCTGGACTGAAGAGCAGTCAACATTTCAAGGGTGGCAGCTCTACTCTCCTCACTTACTTCACCTGCAATAGATCACAGCTGCATCAATGCTTTACAAGGTGTTTACAATATAATTCATGATTTTAATAACTTTCTGTTTAAAAAATTACATTTTTCGAAAGAAATGAAATAATTTTAACTTTTTCCAAACAAACTTATAACGCTTTTATATGTGTAACAGAAAGAAACTGCAAATCCTTTTTTTTTTTAAACAATAGAAAGTGAGAAAAATAGGCAGTTGTCAGGCTAGTAATGTTACTAATTAGCATGTTTTCTTTAAAGTAATTTTAGGCTCTTGCAAATGACAAACTAAAAAAATATATATATAATTTGTTCTATTTAAGTGTAATAAAAGCAAATCTTATCACAAAAGAATAAAAATAGTTTTAAATTTAGAATTACTTTAAGAACAGAAAGTTTCTGATAGAGTTTCCAGTATACTTTTATTAATACTGAACAACACGTAATAGCGTCAAATCAATGCATGGAAAAAAATTTACACTACTATTTATTGATCAAAGATCTCTTTTCAATATTTTTTGAAGGGTCCTTAAACAGACCCAATTTCTTCCTAAACTGACCACCGAATATTTTAATCAGATTTTTATAGCACCCTTCAAAACTTTGGATCACATATTTCATACCAATTCACTAAAATTTATTATACATTGAGCTGGCTTTAAAATCTAATAAAAATATAAATACAAAAATTAAAAGTTTTCAAGTAAAAAGAACACTAAATGGACCTTAACGTGTGAAAATGTCCTGTACCTTCAATAACTATCGTGGGAAGACTAGCTGAGCTGTTGCTTCTGCTGATATTTGAATGGGAGCTTGCCGAGGACAGAGATTGCACACTGCGACAAAGTTCTGATGCGATCTGGCTTAAGCTTCTATTCACACGATTTTGGCTCTGAAAAGTGCAAGCAAATTTTTTTAGCTAAAGTGAATATGAATAAAATAACACATTCATTGAAAATAAAATTAGAATACTTACTCTAAAACATTAGTCATTTTTATATTGATTTTAAAACTCTTCAATTCAATTTTATTGCAAAGAAAAACTGGTGCAGGCAACATGAAAACAAATATATCTATTGTCTGTCTGTGGAAAGAACTCCCCTAATTAGTCATCTGGAGCAGGGTAGTGACTATGCTTACAAGGTTTAACTATTTAATGCAGGGGTGTTCGGTCAATATTTAAGACATCGAGGGGATCAATGAGGGGAGAGAGAATGTTCCCTCTTTAAATTTCCACAATTCCTTGTTTTCATAGCAGTAGATGGCCTTAAACTTTGTGGCAAGATAGTTCTATAAAAACTATAGATCTAGTTCTAATATATATATTAAGTCAGCATTCAACACAAAAATATTTGAAATCTTATAAAACAGAAAGTTTGAGTTTATTTCAGATAATCAGGAAGCAATTTTATTACGAAATAAAACCTAAGCAAGGCTAGACAAAATACCATATTGATTGGATGTAAACTTAATATAAAATCATTCAAACTGTTATATAATAGTTTTTACCTTGACAAAAAGTTTATGTTATGCAAAATAAAATTAAACTTGAAGAGCTGAAAAAAAGTATATAATTTAAATTACCATTATAGACAAAGGTATTAACTGTGTAACAAAATGAATGAACTGTATTTAAAATGTTATACAAATTTTTTGATACATAAATTATTAATATTAACAGTATTTAAAATAGTTCAGCTAAATGTAAACAGAAGAAACAGTAAACTTTAAAAATTTGTTAATATTATCTTTTTTAATTATTTAGGGACAGTTCTCTAGTCAAAGTCTCACTTTTTATAACTTTACTCTACCAAGATGTCAACGATATAAGACAATTGAACTACTAAAAGTCAATACAATCCACATCACAATAATTTGAAATTTAACATAGATATTTGTTCACAGATTCCATTTTCTATTTTTAAATTTGTTACACACTTTCATCCTTAAAAAAATACCATAGTTACGAGTTGAAATTAATAATTAAAATGTAAGTTTATGGTTTTCTTTAAATGATGGAGAAAAAATTACTTTTTTCTGATTTCGATCAAGGAAAAACTGGTGTTGAGAAATTGCCATAGACCAAATACATCTTGCTGCATTGGGTGAGGATGCATACCACACATATGCAAATACATTGGCTGGTGCTAAAGCTCTTCTGCTAACAGACACTCTACAGGAAAAAATATTGCAATTATAGTACTGAACAAAGTTTCTGCATAATTTACAAACACTGTATTAACTGAAACAGTATTATCAGTGATAATAAATAAGATATGAAATAGTATTAAATAAAATGTATAGATAGTGTTTCATGCATAAAAAACCTTTAGAAAAATAATATTTTACCTTGAAATTATATTTAAACATCTGAAAAGAACACAAAATATTAGGACATTTCTTAGAAAATATGCAATGTACTCAAATGAGAAACTTTTCAAGAAAGCGATAAAATCAACATTTAAAACTCTCCATAACATTACAATCACATTCAATTGAATATTTAAAGAACAATAAAAATTGCTAAAACAAGCTTCAATCAATCATTAAAAGAACATCACTTTAACCCAGAACTTGTCTTATTTCCTACTTAGGAGGGAAACCAATTTTGTTCTAAATATCAGATAGAAAAATAATGTATAAAAAAAAAAAAGGTTTTCTCTACATATTTATCTATTAGCAAAATAATCAGAGGATTAAGAAAAGTAATTTAAACATAATTTTAGATGAAGTTACAGATGCACATTACATTCAGCAAATAAGTAAAATAAGCTGTCCCCTCTTTAAAACAAAATAAGTGAAGCACCATAATTTTATCGATAAGGTTAACTCAATAAATTTCACACAACTTTTAGGTTACATAATTTAAAAAATGCTAAAATTTGAAATTTGAATTATATTTGCAGAATTGTTCTTAAGAAATAAATATTTAAAAATGTGGAGTTTTAAACATTTTCAGCACATAAAAAAATGGCAAATGAAAAAACAATTAAGAACTCAACTTATTGCAAAATAACGGTCATTAAATCATTGGGCTTTTTTTTCTTTCTTTTCTTTACCTTAATATACATTTTCGCTCTTTATAAAGGGAAAGTTTAAAAAAAAAAAAAAAAAAAAAAAAAAAAAAAAAAAAAAAAAAAAAAAAAAGGTAAACTAAGTTATTCTATTCACTTGATATGACTGAATATTACTTAGCAATTGTGCTAATACTATCAACACAAAGTTTAAACAATTGTAACAAGAACTAACAATTATGAAGAAGAAAAAACATACATTTTATGCTTAAAATAATTAATTTGTTTATGTTACTAAAACAATATTGACATATAAGCAGTATTTAGATAAACTTACTGAGTGGTTGGATCACAGATTGCATTTGACAAGTCATCAAATTCTTCAAGTGGCTCTTCTATTGCATCTTCATAGAGGTTGAAGCTACTCAATGTGTGAACAACCCTACGACAATACGCAATAGAAATTTTAAAATTCAGAAACACATTTACACAATCACAAAGAATGTGAGAAACCTAAAAACATGTGAAAAGGAACTGACCTGCGAGCTTCATGAACTTCAATAGTGAATTTTCTATCTCGGAAATATAAGTTTTCCAGTTGCTTCCAAAAAAATACCTACAAGTGAATATAATAATTAACACATTTTTATGCATAGATAATAAATATATAATAATCAAAAGGAATATGATTAGGAATAATAAAATTATTAAACACCTGTTACCTTCAAATTTACTGCAGAGCATATTTTTTGTCATAGTTAATTAGTAAGGTATAAATTACATTTGATAAAATTTTGAATCAGGCATTACATAAGGGGACGCTATACTGTAGGAGAAATGTTTCTTAGCATATTTTGTTTCACCTTTAATTGGTATTTCAAAATCTAAAGTTTAGAGAGAAGTGAGTTCGGCCAAAGGTAGAATAGACCAAAGTTTACAAATGCTAACATTTTTATCAAAATATCAAATTGCATTGTGACAATATTATTCAAAATTATGCAGTAGGGATATAATCCAGCTATAATTTATTTGCATTATAAAATTTTGAAATTATTTTCTTAACATTTGAAACTTTGTGGTTTACTCTAGATTTACCTGAACTCACTTTGGTCTAAACTTAAAATTTAGTACCGATGGAGGTGAAGCAAAATTTGCCACGAAACATTGCTCTTATAGTATAATATCCTGTTAAGGAGACTCCTTATTTTCACTATGCATAACAATTCAATTTGAAGAGGTTATTTTAAAATTATTATATTATAAAATTACAATATTATAAAAAGCTTAGCAAATTGAAAGGGATGAGACTTCTAAACCAGAGCTGTAGAGCTGAGAATTGGAATGTTCAATTCGGACTAAAACCCAAGACTTTTAATACAGCCAAACTCTGACTTATATTTGTTTAAAGTTTTCCAGTTGAAAAATTAAATTTTAAAAATATATTTGTACAAAATATGGAAATAGTGCAATACTATTCATAGAAAATAGCTGCATATCACCATTTCATATACACACTGATACATATACAAACATTTTAATGCAACAAGACTGCTTAGAGAATATTCATACTATACACTACAATAACAGAAATACACTACAATAACAGATGGAACATCATATTAATTTGAGTATTTTTTTTAAAACAAAATTAACTTTCATCTAAGCTCTAAACTAATTTAATTAAGAAACTTATGAATTCAGAGGTGTTGAAATGCGATTAAGGATGCATTAATTTAAATAGTTAGTAATAGAGTAATAATTTTAATTTAAATAATTTTTAAAATATTCATTTGAGTAATATTTTTGTTTAAATGACTAGAAATATTTATTAGATAACTACAACTTATCTTCGACTCTGACTCCACAACTCTGTTTGAAATGGTGGTTAAACTATGATTTCGGTTAACAAGTTTGGTTCAACCGGTTCCTGTGATGTCTTGAGTACATTTTAAGCAGCATGTTTGCAAGTGGTTGTTTAGAAATATTACAGAATAACATTTTAATCAACTATGGAATATCAAAGTGGAAGAATTAATACTTACCCTTCGAGGAGTTTTGCGATCATTCTTATCGTATTGGCTAATACCTCTATAACTTAAACCAAGCCAGCAACCATTTCCTTGCTTGTCCTTTAAAATGCAAATATAGAACATTAATTAAAAACAAAAGTTATTAAAATTTTTAGAAAACTCTACAAGCATTTTCAAAAGAATAGCCTCACCTTGATTTCATAATAGTGCTGACCATATGTTGGCAAACTTTCAACAATACTCAAGTAACTGGAAAAAAAAGTTTTCTAAAAATGCATTTAAGATAAATAAATTAATTCATAAGCATTTATATTAAAACTATAACTTGTACTTTTTTGACTTAGCTTGCTTAGATGTAAAACTTTATTAATAAGTCCAAAACTATTAAAAAGCATGTAACAAGTAAAAAAATTATTGTTCGCAAATTTTTTCATTCATTAACTACAGAAAGTCATTCATTAACAATAAAAATTATCCTCCTCTTCATTTTGCACTTGCACAATTATTCACATTATATAAATATTAGATGGCACCACTACCATAATTTGCACTTTTAAAAAAATAGTACAGATCAAATAATAAATAAGTTTGAAAAATTGTTGAGAAAATAGTTTTAGTTCTTTCTACTAACATAAATTCTTCATTTAAGGATTTTAATTTAATATTCATTCGGTTTTTAAAAAAATCAAAATTCACTACAGTCAGCAGTGACTTTTTAATCTGGCTCAAACAAACGATATCGTAGAAATAAAGGTTCAGCTGAACCGCACAGCAATAATGTAAAGGTTCTGTCATGCTGTTTTCCATTTCCATTGCTGTCTTATTTTTTAATGAAAAAGTGCTTTAATACTTTCAATTTCTGAACACACATTGACAAAATAAAATTCAAAAAGTTGGCTACAAAAATAATTATTTTTTGAAATAATTCGGGTTTATGTACAAACACTTACTTTACAATTGCAGCACCTCTTGTTTGACCCACTAACACTTGGTAGTGTTCAAGGACTTTGTTTTCACTGCAAACAAAAAAAAAAATAATGGTTAGTTCATTTTCGGATATCATCTGTATAAAGCATAACTTTATATTATCATTTATCTACATTGTACAGAATATTAAAAATTAATAAGGGCTATAAATAACAAAAATTGTTCAAGCTCACCATAGAGATATTGACGGAAACTCTTTAAGGGTAGATGTTGGCAGCACAGGTAATCGTTTCAAATGAGACTTGAATGTTGGCTCGCTGAAAGGAATAATTTTAATAACATAATTAGAAATAATTTGCATCCAACGTCTGTGGGAAAATAATATCCCGTTGTGCGTTACAAAAATTAACATACTTGTAATGATAATACGTAAATGAAAACTTCATTTTCAATGATTCAATAATATAAAAATAGTCCCTATTACAGTAATGGTAAATAACACCATACTATGAAGAAAAAATTATTGTTTGTCACAAAACATAGCTTTAATGTAACAGAGTAAGTATAAGAGTTATAATTAATGTTGTTTTATTAGACTTTTAGTAGATGCATTATTGTTGATTAGATGGGGTAAACATAAGCATGCTAATAATGAGTGAACATAATATTAAAAATTATGAAATCAGACACAAAAAAAATTCTGAATTTTATTTAAAACCAATTTTGATTCTTGAACCATAAAATGTGTGAGTCAGGAAAATATGATTCCAATGATTTAGCAAGAAGAGGGGGGGGGGAATCATATGCCCCCTTTATGTTAGGTTTCCCATTTGCACATTTCGTTATGTCCAGCGAACCCTCTAAGCAAATAAAATGTTTAACGTACAATTACAAAACCTATTTATCCAAAGATAATTATTCCCTCTGCAGAGGATCAAAATTGTGATGGCATGTCTTCGGATAAACCTCAGGGATATTTCCCAGACCGTCGCCAACAGCCCATTGTGCAGCTCTATTGCGTAGGTAAAGTACTTACCTACCAAAGATAATTCCATTACTTTTTAATGCTTATTTAAATAATTGTTGGAAAATTTTAAATTAAGTTAAGAAATTTTTTACATTATTTTAAACTAAGTAATTTTTTAAATAATAAAATACAAAATTTTAATAAAATCAAATAATATTTGAGAAATAAAAACTATATTGAGAAATGAAAATCTAAAAATATCACCACAAAGCACTAGGTACCTGAAAAATGTGATTATTTTTTATCAAAACTTGTTCAGGCTCTTCCTTTTTATTTTATGCAATTTAAAACAATTTTTATGGACAATGTGAAAGTTTCCTGTTTACATGTTATTTTATTTCTTATTTTACCTATTTATTATTTTATGTTATTTATTTATTCATTTTTTCTCGCTCACATCAAAAGAAAATACAATAAAAATATTACAGAAAAAAAAAAATTTATTATTGAAAACTTACTCAGTATAATCTCCATAAGTTGCTTGAATTACAAGAGCTGCTAACTGGAATATGATGTCAGCATCAATTTCCAATTCTCCCTAAAATTGGAAACAGTTAAACTAATTAAAGACAAGTTACAATAATTATCATTTACATATCAATTACACAGTCCTAAAATACTTCCCCCCTTTCGTTTAATTAAGAAGCAGTATTCTGGTATCGAGCAGTATACTTTTTCAAGCAATATCTTGAAGTGTTTTAATATTCAAAATTACTTCTAAAACATGTTATGTTTTCATTTTCACATTTATCTTTTCTCTTATTATGACATAAAAAAGTTCAGTTTATAATTTTCATGATAAGAAAGAGTATTAAACAAATATATATTTATACACATATATTTCAGGGAAACCACAAACTCAAAAAATTTGAAGAGTGGTGAAAACTGTTTCATGAAGTTATCGAATATTTTAAAGACATCAACTTTAGGAGTACTGTAGGTCAGTGGTGACATAGTATTGAATTTACAAACATTTTTGGTTTATTATAATCACCATATATCCTGGTGTATAGACTTTTCAAACTTCTAACTTTACGAAAATTAGGGGTTGTTAAATTCATTGGTAATAAAGTCTGACATTCGTAGATTGTGAAATATTGATGCATTATAAGCAATGAGGTAGATATGAATAAATCAGCAACAATTTACCCTTTTCAAAAGATATTTCTATAATGTTACATACCATTAATTTCTTATTTTCCTTTGTCATATTTTCTTTACATATAAAATGTAAAGAAAATATAACGAGGGAAAATGCAAAATTAATCGTATATACATATTTTTTTTAAAAAAACAATACCTAAAATTATGTTTAAAAAAATTAATATAATTTATTTAAAAGTATTTCAAAAAATATACCATAGTGAAAACTTTAAAAAAATATAAAATAAAACTACAAATTTAAGGAGCATCATCGGTTTTAAATTCAATAATGTTAGCAGTGCTGTCACATGAATCCCACTCTGCAATGGATTCTACGTCATCCTCATCTTAATTATTACTTCATTTTTTTTCTCTTTTTAATTTTAGAAATTTGCAGCGTTAGACTTCTACATCCGACATACCAGAAATTTACTCTCTCTGTCTCCTGATAAAAAAATAAAGAGTGGATGATACAGTAGTAAACATCCCTTTAAAAAAAATTTTTTTTTTTATCAGTTTTGAAATTTTTTTTGAAAGTGGCAACCTTGTGTATAAAATATATAACACATTTTTATACCCCAGTCAGGGTGAGTAGCCAAATTTTTCAGCAAAAAATAAGCACCTTTTAAGCACTCAAAAAATATTGTCAAGCACTATATACAAAATGCAAAATAATTTTCAGACTTTACATGATCATGATAAAATAACTAGTTTCTGACAAAGAACTCTTTAATAGATTATATTAGCCACCATAAAAAGATTGAGAGATTTTTCGGTTAGAAAAATGAAGCCGGAAATTAAGAATATCTAGCAAAATGCAGCAGAGTTACACATGAAAGAGTTAAAATCTCTTCGAACTCAGCTCAGTAGACACATGCGGACTTGCAAGTATTTTATCAAACATGTAAATTGATTGCGGCTTTCATACACTATGGACCAATTGAAGGCCAAAAAGGATTGTGGTTAAATGAATTGTGAAAATGATGAATAGAGCAATGTGAAAAGCACGCTTTTGCATAATAGGTGCCGAAAATCGACATGGTAAAAAAAATATCATTTTCGAAAAGGGAAAATCAAGCACTTTTTAAAAACATCCAATGAAAATAAGCACCTTTAAGCACTTTATAAAAACGCTACACACCCTGTGCACTGTATATCTGAATATATACAAAATAAAACTTATTGCGCTTACCCCATATCATCCCCTAACACACCACCTTTGCATTTTTTAAATAAGTCATACATCCATGACACCCCAAGACGTTGGTAAGGATATAACTTCTCATAAATTCCATGAAAAATATAAAATCCATCTGCAACAGCAACCATTTGGTCATCACCATCATCCGCTGAGTCTTTTAAAATATTCTATAATNTGCAACTTGAAACAAATATCTTTATCAAACTTATTAGTCAAGTAGCAAGTCAACAACTTAAGTACATACATCCATTATTTGAGACTGATAAGTGATATTTTTACTTAAAATCATAAAATTTAGGTGGTTTTAATGTAACATTTTTATGGCATATGGTTTCAAAACTTAGTAGCACGAGATAAAAATAAAATAAAAATTTCACCCTAATTCTTGAAAGTTATAAAACTTAGAAACCTAGATAAAATTATTTACTGAAGAGGTTCTGTGGAGTGTAATTTTTAAAGATAACTAGCAAAACGTATAAATGGATTAATTAGAAAAAAAAAGCATCAAGAAAGAGAGGAAAATTAAGTGTTGAGATAAAATTATTTTACTATAAAAAAATTTACTACAAGAAAATATAACTCTTCTATCGCGTAAAAGTAACTAGGTAATTATTTGTTATTTTCATAGATAATACAAAATAAGCTCTCTGAACCATGCAGTTTTTATAACCAAATGATATAATTATTTATTTCACAAGCAAATTAAAAGAGAAAAAAAACATTGGGCAGAAGTTTGTTAAAACACGAACTACAAAAACTTCAAATAAGAAATTATTTTTTAATAACTTTACAAAATTGTTATGTAAGTTTGTTAATTCCTAATATAAAATAAAAATATTTTTCATAACAAATATATTAAAAAGTAGTAATTTTTTTAAATGAATTTAATTTATAAAAAAAAAATTACAATACTGGTTTGTTTATTCTAGTAAAATATAAAATTAAATAGTCGAAAAATATAAATAAAAATAATAAAAAAAAAATATTTTCCAATAAGAATCAATTCTTCCTGTTCCTTTTTCGCTCAGTTGAAGAAAAAAAAAAAGTTAAAACACCGCCTTGTTAATCAGATTAATCCATGAATTACTGAAACTAGACTTAATTATTTTTGCTGTTTACTCTTTCCACCCACTTAAATACGCACACTCATCAGAAACATCAAGTGGGAAAAAATAGAAGAACTTAACCCACTTGTTCATTTCCCCCCCCCCCACCAAAAAATCTGAACAACATTCATTCATACCATCGATATTATTTTCCTTTGCATGCATGCAAACACTTAGATTGTGAAAAAACACAAAACCCAGTATTATTTTTAAATTTTCTGCGAAAGCTACTCCTGCATTTGTTAAATTTTTGAAAATATCACTCATTATCTTTTGAATCTAAAACTTTGCCTAAATTGGTCCTTTCCAAAAGTTACCATATCTTTCTAGAAAATATAGTTTTTAAAAAACGTAAAAACGTGATCGACTTCGTTTTTTAAAAAAAAAAATTTGTGAAGAGTCAATTTTTTAAATGGAAAATAATGTGAAAGGATCATTTTTGAAGAAAGAATATTTTGTGCAAAGTCCTTTTTTACAACAAAATTTGTGAGGGGTCCGTTATCAAGCACAAATTTCCCTTAAAAGGACTTCTGCAGATAATAACAATTTCTAATTAACAATTCAACTGGTACAGTAAATCCAACTATTTTTATTCATTTTATTTGTATTACTGGTACAGTAAATCCAACTATTTTTATTCATTTTATTTGTATTACTGGTACAGTAAATCCAACTATTTTTATTCATAAAAACAAATTAATAAAAATAAAATAATTGTTGAATTTACTTGCGCCTAAATAATGGAAAATGGAAATTTATCAAAAAATAAAATTTAAATAAACAAACCATACTTAAGACCGAAATCTAATGATAAATGAGAAGTTTCGCTGAAATGAAAGATGAAAATCTTGCAAAATGTTTTGCGCAGGGCAGGTATAGGGCAAAAATAGGATAATTTTAAACTATTATTTTCAGAATATCACAAAATTATCATAGAAATTCCATTTTTTTTAAAAAATAATAACACAGTGCACGTGAAGTCAGAGTTCGAAGAAAAAAGTGGCGATTAGTAGGCAATATTTCAATTGCCATTTGTTATTCGCTTTGCGGCTGATGGCAACTGTTAATTTTGCCCCGAATGCACGGGGCTTTCAAAGTCTAACGACGGTTTAAAATTTGTAAAAGAATATATTAAAATATACGAAACGAGAGGATAAAATGAACGTAAAAAAATAAAAGAAGCAATAAATCCCGGTTTTTTTCATTTCCATTATCATTAAAATATAATATAAGCAGAAAAACATGAAACCGCGTCCCACTTAAATCTAAAGGTAGGTGATGGAGAGTTCATTCTACTTTTTCAAGGCTAAGCGCGGGAAATCAAAAGAGCAGACGATCCCATTCTAAAGTAGAATTATTCTTTCGAACTTCTCGAGAAAAAAATAATAATAAATCGCAACGCAAATTCGAGATGCGAGAAAGAAAGAAAAAAAAAAGGAGGGTGATTGAAGATAATCAAACACGGTACAGGATTTCAGATGATTGTCAAGTCAATCGAAAACCCAGCAGAGCAGTTCTCTAACAAATACTGAAAGTAAGGGAAATTGAAACAGCGTACAAAAACGTGTTTCTGATGCGTGTTAGAAAATAACAGGTGAATCGACGACGCAATAGCATTTGAGTAGGTCGAATGTGGTTTTTATAAAGGAAATTGATGACACACCGCACAATATATATGTAATATTAAAGGCATTTAGAAAACTAACCGACCAAAATGGGTACAGCATATCATTATAACACGTTTATAATCAGACTTAAGAACAGAAATAACCTATTCAATCTAGAATTACTAAAACATTTATCTCAATATGTATTACCTATAATGAGACCGGATTAAATAATAGAAAAAGAGCCTTAAAAATAGAAAGAAAAAATGCCCTAAAAATATTAAAATAAATTCCCTAATTAAACAAGATTTTAAATCTGAAACATTTCTTTTCTAAAATGCCTTAAAACATATAATTGTTGATATGCCATAGCTATGGTCCAACATGGACTATAGCTACTAGGGGTGAAGTATAATTATATTTAAATATGTATATCGGGATTTAATTTCCATTTAAATTTGAAATCCATGTTTAATGCAAA